AATTTTGGAGGCCGAGCTCATTTTTCAAGCGCTCTCCTTATATTGTGCTCGAATTCCCCGCTTCCCGCCTTCGGCTTCGCTTCGAGAAGCCTCCAAACGCCACTTTTTACGAACTAGTGATTTGTTGATGGTTATGATTATTTTTTCTCTAATGCGTGGTACTATAAATCTTTTCGCAATAAGAGCAAAATATACGCGTGATGATTTGTTAAAAATAGTTAAGTACCTATTCAAGAACATAGAAAAAGGCAAGACACATATTTAATCCAGAGCAGTTCCTTTAGGCTTGTCCCCATGCAACCAAATAAGGCGTCTTTAGCACAGGCTAAAGCCGATCAACCTTAATGATTCATTTATCGAAATTCCCATTCGCGGTATTTGTTGATCATATATTCCATATCTGTCAGGGGCCACATCCACAAGGGAGCTCGAGTGAGTCCTCTTCATCGAAAGCACCCCCCTCCCCTCGTACACACATACAAAAAGAGAGATGCGATGGTAACACATCTACCATTTCGACACAAAGGGACGATTTGATATCTCCACCTGAACAGTAAAAAGTCTCAATTCGCTCTGACTCCTTCAACATCGACTGTATCCCTCCTGCATCTTCTCCAGAACTAATGAACTAATAATACACCTCCATTCATTCAGAATATACACTTTTTATCGTATTTTCGGTGAAAAAGTAATAATTATTGATGCGGAAAACTATACCAACAGGAAAGAGAGCTACGCTATCAGATATATTAGTAAGCAATGGCAAAAGTAAAATGCATAGCACCTATCCTCATAAAACACTAGGATTGACTTAACTTTTTCCTTACTATAATTCAACACAGCAATAATTAGCGCTAAAAAATATCAACCCTAATTTACACTATTTCCTGTTTCTGTTCCTATCATTAAAAAGAAAGATCAAACGGAGGAACCTCCCAGGTGCAGAGATGCAATGCATTAACAGGATTGTACGCACTGGCAGAGGTTCTTGGCCTTTATACTTACAACACTTTTTTTCTAAAGGAAAAAGATTCGAAATTAATTAACGCATCTCACTCCACTGAATCATATGTGCAGAATCCTATTGATATGTAGGTCTATTTTTCATCCTAATCAGTAACAAAAACATCTTGATAGCATTGATTGTTATTATGCACAATACCTGGAAGATAACAAAATCTGGAGACCGTGCATTTTATCCTTCTATACAATGAATGTTGCAGTCTTTGGTACCAAGGTAATGCTAAAGATGCGACCGAACTATTGAACGTTCCTTTACGATTATCATTCTCGCCGTATAGATCCTCGTTACCACCACTGTAAAGAGAAAACTCCGAGTGAACTTGAAGCTTTGCATCCGAACTAGACAAAATGACTACCTCTTGCGTCGTCTCTTCCATTTCCCTCTCCCACTCCTCCTTCTGAGTGGAGAGACAAAAACTAGTTCTGAAATGCATTCGATCTTGCAAAGCTTCAAGTCTGGCCTTTCGAAGACGGCATTGTGCTTCCTCTGCAGTTTTTGTTGCAATGTTTAGACGTAACTCACGTTCATCTTGGATCTTCTGCAAATTCTTAGTGAAGAGTAGAAGGTCGCAGTAGTCTATTTCGTCTTGGTTTGTTTCCGAAACTGCTGTGAGCAAGGTGCTGTCTTTTTCGCCTTCATAAAAAGAGTTGTTGAGCCCACAAGCAAAGGGTTTAGGGGAACGTTCAAGCAATGTGACGCCAGTGAGGTCCAAACTAGACATCGCTCCTATTCTTCTTGTCCTAACTTTATTGTTTTGATAATATTGCATAAACTGAAAGAGAATTTTTGTGAGAACAAGGTTATGCGCTTTTTTTTTCAGAAATGACTCATGGATCTATGATTCACACTTAAGGTTTTACAAGAGAACAGTAGCATCAATTGAAAAGCATACCTCCTAACTCTAGAGCTGCAGTTTGTCAAGTGCCTAGTTTTTCTCATAAAACATACGTTGTACGTTTTTGATTTGGTAAAAAAAGGGAAACACGCCGCTAACAAACCATGAAACTTTCCTGATTTACTTGATGATACCATCCGCGTTCTGCTATTCCATTTCCACCTCCAGTATTTAGTGAACTATTTATTAAAATAAAAGGATACAGACCTATTCATTGCGAAATTGCTCAAACGCCCTCAGTATTGATGTTGTATTTTTCATGTCCACCCCAGCCCGAAGTCGTCCAGCAACATCAATGCGGTTCCCTATGATCGATGTACACAAACTCACTGACTTAACCAAGACCCCCGCCAACAGTCGTGCATCCAGGTTGCCAGGTGAAATAGGGCGTCGATGGTTGACGTTGCCAATATGATTGCTCTTGACTGCCACCATGTGTTTATTGAAGGAGAGATGAACAACGTCTGACAAGCGGAAGAGCGAAAATCGAACCGGGCTGAGGCGCGCCTCCGAGCCATCCTCTGTCAGCTTAGCGGGATGGGAGAACCTCTTTAGGGACGGGCGTGCACAGAAAAGAAGAGAAAAGGGGAAGGAGGAAGAGGAGGAGGGGGAAGAAGAGGGCAGCACCCCCTCACGTGAGCCACCCGCCTCTTCATCCTCAGAAAGGTAGGGCGAGGGCGGGGTGGCGCCCCGGTCGAACAGAATCCGCTCCTGCCGCCGCACCGCCCGCGCATAGCCACGCGGCGAGGTCCACGAGCGATACCAATACAGCGGGGATACGCGTGAGGTGTGAACCCAAAGAGGGGAAAGCGCGACAAAATGGGCATCCACGCGCCGGCACACATCAAGGGCCCGGGCGAACCCGCGGCAAGGATCGAACGAGCTCCCCCCCGTCGTTCCTTTTGGCAGCCACCAGCCGCGGTTCAACGTGGGTTCAGGAAAGATGGAAGCGAGATAATACACGACAGAAGCCCGACGCATAGCAAGTTCTAAATCTCGTTGAGAGGTCATGTCACCTTCAATGATTTCGAACGCCACGCGCCGTCGTACCGAAGGGTTCGGGTGAGAAGTGCGGGGATATGATAACGATGGGGAAAGGCTCGCTTCGTATTCGTACTCATACGAAAGTGTGTGTTTTTCATCGCCTCGTTCACTTACATAAGAAGCCTCATCATCGATCCTTTTATTTGAGATACTCGATAGCAAAACAAAACCCTTGGATTTTTTTTCGTTTCCGTCCCGCTCAACATTCGCGTTGGGGACATAAATAGACTTCGCATACTCAGCGTTACTCGTGAGGATGGAAACACTAATGCCTCGCCTAAAATACTGCTCCGCTATAAATTTACCCAGAAAACCACCAGCGCCGATGAATGTAACACGCTCCATTGGGCTAGATTCCAGTGTGAAATCTGAGCTCTCTTTATTTTTATTTACTGTAGAAAGGGAATCAAGCCCAATGGTACCCAAGACAGGTACGGTTGCTGTGTTATTCAACGGGAAAAACAGCAGCCCGTTGCCCGCATCCATAACTGAGGGCACCGCCTCAACCTCGGCCTTCACTACGGCATTGAACTCCCGCGTAGATTCCTCTCTAAACACGCTGTGTAGAGAGTTTTGCGTAGCTCTGTGTATATAAGTACGAACAACATTGCAGTAATCAATCGGCTTGAACCCAGAGCATGATGAAACCATTCTCTTTAAAAATTTGGAGACATGTCTAATTGAAAAATGCAGTAGAAAACGAAATGAAATGATGCGGGGAGATCAAGGAGGAAGATAGGAAATTATGAAATACAGTGGTTCCGAAAGCGATCTAATCTTTGTTATTATGTGAGCATATAGTGATCATTCGCTAGTGTTCAGTGAATATGCATCCTCGAAGAACTTTAATAGAACCTATAATGTGAATTATCGTTATTAACTTAAAACATGAAGAAACAACACTAACCCTTCGTTACTTGGTAATCGAAGCCGCATTTCCTTCTGAACACATAGTTTTCATAAGCATTTTCTTTGGTCGACCCTCAGGCTCTTGACGAATCAACTTCTCTAATAAATCCTGGCGTCCAAAGATGTGCGCACCTTTCGCACATGCAATTCGAACCAGATCACTGGGGTGTCTCCAATACACCTCAAATACATCCTCCACAAAACGCGTGTAGTTCATTAATGCCAAGTAAACGATTGTGTAGGCTAGTTGACCAAGAATGCGATTGGAGCTAAGCTCATTCTCTGAAATGTGCAAGACACGCTCAACCTCCGGGGCTCGCTCTGAGGCCGCGGTCAAAAACTTCAGCTCCTCCACCAATTCTTGAGTTCCTTTGAGCGTGCTTTCGCGGGAAAAAGTCGCGAGAACATCAACAGGAGTGTCTAAAGGATAAGAAGTGTTCATGACTTGATTAAAGCGCTGAACCAACGGCCGCCCGCCGCACATTCGTGTATTTACTGGATAATTAACGTTGCAAAAAATGGGCATTTCAAGCAAGATATCCTCCTTGTCATCACCTGGTAGGTGAACTTGGCGGTGATCCACCTGGAGGTCCAATCTTGTGTGAAACATTAAGAGAGATTTAGAGTATATAGTTCGGAAGGCGCACATACGTACTGGGGTGTCCTCTAGATGCTCATTACCATCACTGAGAAGAAGAGGCCAACCGAAAACAAATGGATTTGACTTCATCATGCGGTCCTCAATCAAACGGAAGTGCCCTGAGGTGCCCAAGAAAAGGCTGTGCTCTAATGGGTAATCCATTTCCACTGAGCGTGGATCGCGGCTGCGCATATCTTCAATGTACTTGTTTTTAATATATGAAGGACTAAGAGTTCCTGTGAGCGATTCTTTAGTCTGAGTTTCAATCCCATTTTGCAACTCCTCGTAGTACGGCAGATATTTTTTCATGTGCTCCGCGTCGGCATCAAGGAACTCGTTGAATACTCTTTGGATAGCACTGTAAGATGGCCTGACAGTGTGCCAGAGTAGTGGTGGAAAGTGTTCAGATAGCTGAATCATGATCTTTTCGGTTGGACTGTTGTGATCCCATAACAGACGGCATAACCTACTCGGTTCATTAATGACAGGAGAATCTTCTCGATCTGGAAAGGGAAATGCCTCTCCAATCACAGTGTACTCCGTATTTTCATCACCTAGACAGAGACGCTTGCGCAGAATACTGCTCATATTCGCGGGATCAAACAGATCCTTGTCGAATATAAACGGTTTCCGATACCACGACAACTCGTCATAAATCTTGATATCGCAGGAAATCGATTTCTCGTTGGATCTACATTCTTCGCGTAATCGAGCAATCCAAGCGGGTGGAGATAAAGCCGATGAGGATGATACATGCCGCTTAGAAAGCAGCAAACACGGCTGCAATCTAACCGATACACGGCTACCCCTGTAATTGGAAAAGTACTTTAAACCGAATGGGCAACGCATTATCACGTGGAATATATTGGTATAAGTTTAATGATATGCTAGCACACACCCCTCTTTTACGTTAGCCTTTATGCGAAATAAATAAACGATACATTGAAAGATGAAAAGGGAATAATAAAAGCAGGAAAAGGGGTAAATGTGCTCAATAAATTAGAAATTATCTCTTTGTTTTCCATTCAAAAAGGACCACATCCGAGGCTAATTTTTATTTATTCGTTCTCTTAATTAATCGAAGGATTAGACTAACACTACCACTGTTGATTGGAGCCCATTGCCGCAGCAAGAGGATGAGCAGCTACAGCGTCACTAAATCATCCAACGGATCCATTTGAGGCTCATGATATGCCACCGTAGGAAGGTGGTCCTTGCTAAGCGGCCGCGTGATTTCTGCTGTAAATAAACGTGCATATGTCTTCTCATACCGAAGTGGTGTTTTGTCTTCTGCACTGCTTCCAAACGCAGAAATCATGAGTGGTACGGCAGGTAAATAGTGACGCTCAAGGGCCGTCAGTTCCCATAAAGTGGAATTGAGAGCGTTGGAAGACGGTAAGGAAGCTTCTGGGTCGAAAGGATCCTTACCCTCGAACAGTAGTGCAGTTTGACGTAGAGCATCTTGCTTGCTGGAAAGCGCAGTAGGCACTTTATGGCTATCCTTCTTCTCTTCTACACAATTTTCGGATGCTGGTGATGTCAACTGCTCACTCTGACCCCTCGAAATATCTTTGGCTAATTTATCCCCTTCCTCAGGTAAGACTGCTTCTTTGGAGGTTCGATGAATAAGTGCTAAACAATTAGGGTGAATCTGGAGCACCTTCCGTGTGAACGGGAGCACAAAGGACAGTACCGGTGCGGGTGCTGCCAACGAAATGCGTAATACCTTTTTAACAACACTCGCTGCGATGTAAGATGGTACCCGGAAAGACGTCATAGACAGAAAAAGAAGCTGAAACATTTGATAACGGTGACGAGAGGCAAACGCATCCGGTGTGATCAAGCTATACAACTGTTCATAGAACTGTGGATACTCCAATCCGTGATCCAACATAAGGACAAAAAGACCCTGAAGCGCCATGACAGATATCAAACCCCCACTACTAAAGCAAGAGCTTAAATAGTCGGCAAGTAGAAGTGGGTTGTTCAAGTTTGGTAGTATCACAGGAGCAAGACGATGAAGGAGGTGAATGTGTAGCGAGGCTTCATCAGCGTACTCAATGCAACGCATCCATACAGCCGAAAAAAAATGCTTGTGTGCACGCTCAGAAAAAACAGATAACACACTATTCATAAGAAGTTTGCGTCGCTCAGATGCATTAGAGTTGACGTAGGCGTCTCCGGCTTCAAATTGTTGTCTCTCTTTCTTTAGAAAGGCCCATCGAAGGGACATGTGCTCCAGGTTTGGTAGCCCACGATTGCAAAAGAGCACGAAAGTGTTCACAATGATCTCAGTCAAAGATTTGTCGTAGCTGTCTTTGGTTTCACCGATATTTTCGCTGATAGTCAAGCGCCTACGCTTTCGGAGTTGACGATCAATGACGCTAGCCGCACTCTTAAATAGGAAAAACCATACATCATCAGCGGCAACAAATTCACTGTTAGGGTCACTGAGGGCCTCACGCACTTCTGCCACTTGCGCACTGCACCCATCAGGAATGATGTCATCTCTCACAGGACAAAGGAGGGGAGATCTCAATAAGTGATTGATCTCCGGTAAGACTTCAGCATCAAAGGTTCGACACAATGCCGTGTAGTTTGAGCATTTATCACACTTTTTAAGGGCTTCTATAAGCTTATTCCACAGCATTGTAAAACAGTTGGCTCCAGAGCCTCTCAAAAAATGCTAAAAGCTCTGATAAGATCTTCGTATATGAGAAATGACAGTAAGATACGAAAAGTGATCCACTATACAAAAAAGAATCAAGGCAAACAACCCATACATATATAGACTAGACAAAAAGACGTACAAACATAAAGAATGAAGATGAACTAGTTCCACCGAATAACACAACCATATTTGTTATTTTTACTTATTTATGTTGGGAGTATAACACTAAAAATATCCTCTCGTTTATCACTCATGAAAAAGATACAAATTAATAAAGATTAACAGTGAACTAAACATCAAAAATCTTCAGCAGCATTGCTGTTCGTGCAAAGTGCTGCCTTCTCTAAACATTATCCACGTATTATATGGAATTGTCAAAAAATGTGTTAGTTCAGAGTCACTTGCCCATCATATATGCAGCCTTTATGTGATACCACTGACGAACTAGCAATACGCCTCATTTCCTTAGGTC